TTACAATTACCTTTGAGCAACCAGAATTTGACAATGTTTGGTCAATGCACGTTACGAAGTCAAGACCAACTCTACCAGAATTGTACAAACTGATTTCAGAAACTGTCAACTGGTCATACAACTAAAAGAATAATAGGAATTTTGTATTGAAGATATCACCATGAAATCATAAATGTACACAGTTTTCTATAACTTTGAGACTGCTTCAAGATCGTAGCTTTAGACAGTGGCCAGGCGTTATCTCTCTGAGATTGCAACTAAGCCGTCTTGTGATCGTGACTAACTGAACACTAAGCCACGAAGCAATGACTTTCATATTGCAACTGTGAAATTTGCCTCAAGCAATCACCTTAAAATCGTCATAATGCTATCTCCTTGAGATTACAACTATATACTATATCCCAAAACTATCACCTTGAGATTACAACTGTATACTATCTTCCAAAACTATCACCTTGAGATTACAACTGTATACTATATCCCAAAACTATCACCTTGAGATTACAACTATATACTATATCCCAAAACTATCAACTTGAGATTACAACTGTATACTATATCCCAAAACTATCACCTAGAGATTACAACTGTATACTATATCCCAAAGCTATCACTTTGAGAACGTAATTGAACACAGTTCTACCAAAATAAGACAAACCTGTTTTCCAAAATTAACATTCTTTCTGTTAAAGAAATAAGACGCGAGCGAAGCGCTTCCTTCTAGTAGTACGTCATATTCAGGTCCACCAATAACAGAGCAGCGTGCAATCGCCTTTGAGTGTACACCCGAATGACCGTAGAACGTGAATTGTACATGATGACTTTCGTTCGGCTTAAGCGTTCCGTACAGAGGCAAAATGTCAAATACCTTATAAACGTGAAAATAGCATCGTAGAAAGTCTTGACTAGTGCATAATTATGCATGCTTAACGCGCCTATTATCATAGTCAACTTTGAAACAAAATCAACTTTGAAACAAAATCAACTTTGAAACAAAATCAACTTTGAAACAAATGACGTATGAAAAATATATAGCAAGTTTCAAATTCAATAATAGGGGAGGGGAGGCTCGTATCTATATATTTGAATGAGTACGTAAATGCAAACTAAAATATACCATAAACGAACCTCTTGAATTCCTAAGTCAGTTGAAAGCACGCGAATCTCCGTTTTTAGGGCAACGTTTTCATCTTGATCATTTGCCTCGTTCTCAGGCGGCGACATCACATTCATTTCTTCCTCAGTTTCTGGAGAAAAACCAAGAACTTCTTCATTCTCAACGACGGCTTTTTTCTCTAAGAAAAATCAAGCGACAGTGATAAAATGACAGACTCGAATATTCAAAGCACTTTGTGCCGAAACCAATGTTTCGAAAGCTTTCTTGTATCCTAGGAAACAAGCAGTAGCGGATCCAGCGTTAGTCAAAATAAATTATAGCTCACAATTTTAAATTCAAAGTACTTTCAATAAAACATCGTTGGTTTTCGTTTCTAAAGTGCATAATTTTACAAATGGACTTGCCTCTAAAGCCTAGTTCTCATTCATCGCAAAACGTAGGCGATAGAGCTTTTAAGACGTCAGCGAGTACTTACGATCAATGAGAACGCATTGAAAATTGCGTTGCCGATTTTTTGACACGGTCACCAAACATCGGCGCTGCCATCGCAAAAAACAAAATAGTTTGTTTCTTGCGATCATTGGCGATCATTGTTGAGTGCTACTTGCTTAAAAAATCTTTTAGAACGAGAATCAGTTGAGTCGGGCAACTTCGGCGACAAATTATATTAAAAACAATTGAAGCTGAAACAAAAATTATGAACTTTAAACTAAAAGGAGCCATTTTTTCTTTGGTAAGAATATCAAAGCGCGTAGACTTATATATCATCGCTGATTTATGAGAACCATTCGTGCACTGGCCATCAACGACCATCGGCGATAAACGTCGCCGATTCTATAGCGACACTTTGCATTGAATGAGAACTAAGCTGAAGGCCCTTAGAAAGGTTAATACATTCCAAAATGTGCCGCAGTAATTTATTTTGACGTGCCCTAGATCGGTAATGGCAAATGAGAAAACTAGAACACAAAAATCATGCGAAAGACAGCGTCAACAAATATAATAACACTAACCATTGCGAGTGACAAATTCCTCGATGTGTAGATCACTATCTACAAACGACCAATGATATTTAACGTCCATTGGACTGTTGTTAGTTACAAGGACACTTTGTATCACTTCGGTATCGTTCAGTATACAACCAAAATTCACCTGGGTGAAAAAAAAAAAAACACTTTGCATCTCAACTCTTTCGGTTCTGACTCTCGCGAGTACAACAATCTGTTGTCAAGCTCATTCTTATATTTATAACGCCATGGCGTGTATAGTAAACTGCATACTCTATCATTATATAGTCCCAAAAACAAAATGAGTAGCTGATTGGAAAGATAGACTTAAATATGAAAAGAAAAACCTTGAATACAAAACATTGTTTTATGGATTACACATATCTTTATAGAGTTATTATCATATAAGTCATGGTACGCAGGGTGTCACATGAAGAACGTAACCCGTACAAATAATTATGTATGCACTAAAATGAAATTAATCGGCAATAGCTTTTAGTTTCGCCTTGTAAGATAATGTCGCTTTTCCTTAACAAAGCATTCGCGTAATAAATTTGAGATATAAATCAGTGTATGACAGTACTTTTAAGTTTAAATTCGTTTTGCTTTGGAATAATACTAAACTAACCCTGATAAATCCCAGAACTGAAAAGTTCATTAAACAATTTTATTGCTATAGTTACATTATTGAGCATAATAATTTCAGCAAATACATAATTAATCTATGTGTGTGTTCCTCTTTTGTTTTTTTGGGCAGAGGGGCGGAGGAACACACTGTATATTAGTCCTTAAGTAAAACGTTTTAGTAAATTGATAAATTCGTAAAAGAAAAGATGTATTCCTAATTATTCAGGAAAATAGTCTTAACTATTCTTGAACTCGTTAACTTAGTTGTAGTTATACTACGAGAGAGTTTTCAATAAACTTTACATAATATTAGCTAATGGCCATTACGGAAAATACTTTTAAGCAAATTACGCGATCCCATTGATATTGTATGAAATATCTATAATGAAAGCTGTCAAAAAATTGGAAAAATTACTTTAAGTTTTACAAAAGAGCAAGGCGAGGCTTTCCTGAAATCACATTTCCCTGAGCACAGACTAAATTAACAAGTTAAAATGAATCAATTCCATTCATAAGCCAGAAATATACAATAAGTATCATGTCTAACACTATACTGGGAGTGGCATCACGTCTAACACTATACTGGCAGTGGCATCATGTCTAACACTATACTGGCAGTGGCATCGTGTCTAACATTATACTGGCAGTGGCATCATGTCTAACACTATACTGGCAGTGGCATCGTGTCTACCACTATACTGGCAGTGGCATCATGTCTAACACTATACTGGCAGTGGCATCATGTCTAACACTATACTGGCAGTGGCATCATGTCTAACACTATACTGGCAGTGGCATCATGTCTAACACTATACTGGCAGTGGCATCATGTATAACACTATACTGGCAGTGGCATCATGTCTAACACTATACTGGCAGTGGCATCATGTCTAACACTATACTGGCAGTGGCATCATGTCTAACACTATACTGGCAGTGGCATCATGTCTAACACTATACTGGCAGTGGCATCATGTCTAACACTATACTGGCAGTGGCATCGCTAGTGAGGGGGGAACAATATTCATATAGTCATGTTTTAATCAAAAGAACTTGGTTCTAAATCACTAATGTGAATGAAGTATGATGTACCCTTCGGTGCTTCACACGTAACTCGTAGAATGTAATGCAATTACGCTGCAGCACGGTATATAGCTACAGTAACAATCCTATACATACAAAAAGCTGACGACAGACTGCTTACCTCATCCGTTTCAAACGTAAGATTTGGATAATACACGCCTCCATTCAGTTCCAGATAATCCTAAATCAACGAATAATTCCATAACATCACTTAGCGAAATTATTCTACTAAATATAATTGAATCGAGTTGACAATCATTGACGAACAGCATGCGGTACACACGCGTTGACTGATAGGCACTGAACATGAGGTATGGCAATTGAAGAATTTCTCAAATCTATTTAAATAATTGTACCAGTTATTGGAGCTTTTGAAAAAAGGCAAGTTTCCAGATAAAAGTGCTGCTATATAGCCTAATTTCTAAGTCTGACAAGCAGAAATAAGCATAATATATAAAATATTCTAAGTTTTTGATCATCTCTGCCTTTTCAAATACTAAAACACAAAAAAAAATAGAAAAACTAGGAAAACACTTTGTTGGTGTTGAAAAAAACAAATAAACAAAGCCTTACAATGCAGCTACAGGGTGTAATGAATGGGGAGTGTAGGATTAACATGTTTGTGGATAAATATCGTCCAGGTTAATAGTGTCCTGAGAAGGAATGTTGGTATTGATGTAGACTAACGTTTCGACAACCTTAGCGGTAGTCATCTTGAGAGTCAGAGCGTAGGACTCTTACCCTCCGTTGTCAACATCCTTAGTCTTGCAATAATAGTAGTAATAATAGTATGGCCAAAAAATGTTTCTGATCAAACCAAGTGGTTCAGGATAGGCTTTTTTCCAAAAATGACGCATGCCATAAAATATAAAACAATAGTAATAATAAATCTATGTTCAAGTATTTTAATTTGAAGTGCCCCACCTTATGTGGATGACCTTTGTAAGTGACCATGAGCTGTCCACGTGCTGTTCTCGAAAAGGCGTTATTCTCAAACGCTGGATCGAATTCAACCACGACTCGAATACTTTTCTTCACGTCCAATGTCACCATCTTCGCGCATCGCGATATGAAAACAACGAGAATTTCATGTCAAAAATTGCAAGAACAAGTTTTATTGAATATTAAAAGATTAACAAAATTAAAGTAAATGAACAATTTACTATCGTTTCATCGATTCGAAAAACACTTTGACATTATAATATCGTGTTGAAATTTCAAAGAAAAACTTCAAAGCTAATGCTTTACAGATCGATTTGCATCATCCCACAGATTACTAAAAAACTTTGCATTTTATGCAGCCCGACTAACTCAAACGCAAAAATAAAAACAAATCACATATTGCTCAAAAATAGTGTTCTCCCCTGGTTTGCTCCATATTTACAAGAGCCTTAACAAAGTTTATGAGTAGTGAGTAAAGCTCACAAATTAAACTCACAGTTTATGAGTAGTTAAGCTTAAGCTCTATTGTTTTAAGCTCACAGTTTATGAGTACATGTATGTAAGTAATTATACCCACCCACCCCAAAAAATTAACGAGTTTGCTACGCTACTGATGCAGTGATGCAGAAATGCCTGTTTATAGTTCTTTTTAGTCTTTTCGAATCGTTTCAACTCAATAATTTTATAATAAATATACAAGTGCTGAAAGTTCGTATTTTCGTCAACTGCGCAATATTGTTTTTAGAGTTACATAAACTGATTTGGAAATGTAAATTTTTTGTAGAACTGCATATTGAAAAACGCTGCCGAGATATTTTTCATTTAAACTGCCAAAGTAAAATAAATAAATAACTGACGTCATGGAGAAGCCTTCCAATTTGAGCTTTCCACTCTGCCCTGGATGAAGGGATAATCTTTCTGGAGCAAGTTTGAATACGGGACCAGGGGATGACGGCGTAGACGAACTACTCTATAAAATAACGAGTAACGTGAAAAAATAAAATTATGATGCAATGTAACTGTGAGTGAAATGAAAAAAGGGTGAATTCTATTTTAGATGGTCGATTTTTCTTTTCTCGCCATCTTTTAAAGTTCAAGGCGATGGGACGATCGATTACGCTTATTCGACAACCAATTGTAAAAAAAAAGATTAAGAATAAAAGCATGAAAATCATTATTGTAATTTAATATCTGTATGTGAGCAGCCTTGTTTAAATTCTGAAAATGTAAAAAGTTCCAGGTTTAACGCTTTGACTGTTATGTAAGTGAAGATACGTGGAATTGATTTTTGACAGAAATGTTCGATTATAATCGATAATTAATTGATTTTTGCAAAGAATTTCCAGTGATTGATATGGACGATTATGATCGATAATTGATTGGTAAGGATTTCCAGTGATTGCTAGATAAACTTCAACTGATTTCCACCACAACTAAAAACCTTAGAGCTCAGGTCCTCGCAAGAGGAGAAAGGAAAGATGTGAATATTCATGCTCTCTGCTCTTGCCCGACGGATTTCTTTTGAAAGCCAGTTCATTTTCAAAACAAAACAGACAGGAACAAAAGGTTGCTAGATCAGCCCGATTTTTTACCCATTATATGCTAATTTTTCAGCAAAACTATTATTTATTTCTTTGGAAATGTAATTCCATTTATTGTTTTTCCAGTTATTAAACATAAAATATTGGCATTGTAGGAGTAAAAACGGGCTGGCTTTGCTACTGGGCACAAATGACAACATAATGATCCCCCCCTCCCTGTTAGCGATCTAGCGAAAGCCCTGCTAAGAGCCAACAAACCTTGGGGCATATCGTCTATTTGGCCTTGCAACAGTTTCTAGCAGGCAAAAAATCGCCATTTTCTCGAAACGTTTTTGGACCAATGTGATAAAAGACAATCTAGAGCAAGAAAATTTAAAGCGCTATCTTACTTCTTTGAGTTTCTCCGACTTCTTCGCACGTCGCTCTTTATTCAACTTCGCTTTGTAATTTGAGAAACCTTCGGTCATCCAGTAGAGTTGCTGAGATCTACGGCCATTATTGGTCAACGTAAACGTCTTGCAACAAGAACTGTGACTGAACTGGGGCCCGAAATTTACCACGGGAACTATTGGAGGATCAGAAACGATAGTCGTTCCCATGCCGTGCGCGATCACGTTAATGGAGCCAAGTCGATTTTCTCCAATGGTGATGACGACTTTGTCTTGAAATCTTCACGCAAAAAAAACACAAGATGCTAAAAATGTGAAATGTTGCAAGATTTTGTAATCCGAGGACTGTATGCATTTTTGAAGAAATCGATCAAAAAAAAGTCAAAATTTAACAAGTGAAAGATTTTTTGTTCATTCTTTCGCATGCAGGGACGAAACTAGAACGCCAATTGGTCGGGGTGCGCTATATATTCATATATTCAGCTCTGCCCATTTGATTTTTGCTTATTGTGTAGAATTTCAATTTTCCAACAACAGATTAGAAAAAAGGACAATGCTAAATATACCACAAAAATCTTTGGTATTTGTAAACAAAAAGGTGTCAATAAACAGGTACTAAACTACTAATACAAAAACAAAAGAGTAAACCGCGGTTTTTGTCTATGCCACATACGTCATTGAAAACATTTCTGCAGACAAAAAACCTTTCTCTCGTGAAGAGCACAGCGAGATGGACATGGACACTTTTAAAGTATCTATTTCAACCCCAGGAAAATTATCTGCTGAGATAAAGTCGACCATTTTAAGAACAATTGCAATATATTTTCGAACACGAAAAATTTGATCTCCCCTTATTTTTTGGACATCAAAATTGGCTTTTTTCGTGTTCGACCGTAAAGTGCTATGACTTGGTCTAGTTCACCGGACGTTACGTACATTGGAGAACACACTGCTTTTTAACGCTGAAGATTATAAGTGAAATTTGTATCAAAGTCAAGAAATTTATTTTTTATTAAACTCGAGTTATATTATGCACTTTGTGATTGAATCACAGTTTAGTTCTACAGCGTTAAAAAGGAGCGTGTTCTCCAATGTACGTTACGTTGGTTAACACAACCCAATCACGACACATCACGGTCAAACACAAGAAAAGCCAACTTTGAGGCCGAAAATGTCAAGGAAGATCAAATTGTCGTCTTACAAAATATATTTCAAATGTTTTTAAAATAATCAACTCTATCTTAATAGATGATTTTCTTGAGGGTGACACATAGCGCGTTCAGACTGAGAGTCAGAGTACGATACCCTGTTTCAGGCACAAATCTGCAGGCCTTTCACACTACGCATTACCCAGTAGCTTCGTTTATCTTTAATTTCATCTTTTTCATTGTAACAAGTTTTAAAACCATGTGCTGAGTAGGTGCTTCTCCGTATGCATTACTCAGGTGTCGCCAATTACAATGGTGCCCGTTCCCGAGTACCGTACCAGGGTATTGAGTCTGAACGCACTAATAGACACTTTAAGCAAGGGCGGTGGAAGATTGATAATTGGTGGTGATAATATTTATATATCCATGTTCTACAGGATTAGTTTCTAATATAATCAATTGTAATTATGAAATGTAACATATGAGCATATGAATATAGCCCTCTAAATTATCAATCTTCCGCTGTTGCTTTCAAGTCAGATCGACACATAGATCCAACAATGCCACAGCACAAAAAAAATTCTTTAAAAAAAAGGATCAAACTGACGCTTTAAAAACAATGATGGATTGCTACCACTGATATGTATATTACACTGGATAACGCATCCATGTATAAAATATAGTAAGATAATTGAAGCCGGAAGTTGGCTCATCTGATTATGAACTTCGGGGGGGGGGATCGGTCCCACTTTACTACACTTTTGTATTACAAAATCACATTTTTTCGTTTTTATTCGTTCTACAAACTATTGATTTGAGCAAAATTTTTTTGAAAGAGACAGAACAACCGGCAAAGATATTTAATTCTACAAAGTTTGTCTTCTTGGCTTTATAATGGCAGAAAATTGAGATGGTACAAGGTCGACCTGCATGGTTTTGAAACAAACTGGAGATTATATGATGTTGCTGCTTCTTAAAAAAATGTAGAAATATTACAGAATCCTACTACTGCTACCAAAATTTCATCTGCAATGACGTTTATGGAAGATTGCTACAAATTTACTTATTTAACAACACTTTAAATGAAGTTAAATGAAGATATGATCTTCGCACTTTGCTGGACAATTTAAGCAATCGTCTCAGGACCTGAAAAAATCAGGTGACTCAACGGGATTCGAAAAAAAAAAAAAAAACATGAACCCAACAATATTGACCTGCTCACCACTGTGTGACTTCATAGCTCAGTTGGTCAGAGCACTGCACCGGCACCGCAGAGGTCATGGGTTCGAATCCCGTTGAGTCACCTGATTTTTTCAGGTCCTGAGACGATTGCTTAAATTGTCCAGCAAAGTGCGAAGATCATATCTTCATTTAATTTAACTATTATCTTTTTGTTACGTGAAAGTTCTTTCTACTTTTTTTACAAAAGATTTCAATTTTTTTTCCTCTAGATGTCATAAAAATTTGCCTTAATCAGAAGTTTGTAAAAGGAATAAAAACGCGAAAACTGGGATTTTGTAATGCAAAAAGTATAGTAAAGTGGGACGGATACCCCCCATGAAGCCAGTAGCAAATGATCGATCTTCCGGCTTCAATTTTCGCAAGAGATGCGTTATCCAGTCTAATATACATATCAGTGATTGCCGTAGTCACCTCATACAATCATCAACATTAGCAACTATGGTGATTTTTATGTCTTCCTCCGGGGGCACAACGCCTTCACGTGGTTTGATAGAAAATGACGATTTTTCTCGCGCCTAGGTCAAGAAAGGAAAGAACAATGATGTGAGAAATTAACAGCCGATATTGTGTCGATAACGATATTTTATGCCAATTTACAAAACTTAAACGTCATAAACTATGCCACTTTGTGCTCACCAGTCACTGCTTATGTGATAAAAAAATTTAAAATTCAAAGTGGCTATTTACACTGCAGCAATATTGCACAACCGAATTGTCAATTGACATTAATATCATGTGGAACTAACAAATTGTAAGAAGTGATAATTTAACAAAAATTGTTAAGGTAATATATTTACTATTGTTAAACTATGATTTATATCAAGTGCATTTCTAATTCAATGAAATGCCTAAATACTAGCATTGTGAGCAAGAAAAATATTGATACCAATAATTCTATTTTAGACCCGATACACAGATATTGAAATGATGATATAGGAATTGGTACATCACTAGTTGATAAAGAAATAAGAATGTGATAATGCAAAAATCCGACAATAGAGTGTAAAGTTGGTAAAATAATATCGACATGTAGCTGTAACAAAAGTAAATGATCTAAACACGAATTTAATATAGGAATGTGAACAATCGTTATATTTGCGACAATAGCAATTAATGAACTGTAAATGTTTTACCGTAGAGCAAATGAACTTTGCTGGTATCAACGACTCGTTAGATAAGGTAAGATAACGTTCCACATCTAACAAAACGGGAATATTTCCCCAGTCTAATTCAAATGGAGTGACTTGAACGACCGGCCCTTCACCAAAACAACGAATTTGGACCTCCTGCAAATTTGAAGAAATCGCCATTGGTTGATAATACGAAATAAAAAGGATGCAGTTTGAACAAATGAACATATTCTTGCCTCTAGTCAGTAGTGCCGATAATTGGGGATGGGCAAATATTCATATAAGCATGCTATATTAGATTTCTGCTGAAAACAAAAGATTTCAAAAAAATTAATATCGTATATCCTGCATATATGAACATCCCCCCCTAATTATTGTTCTAGGGGCGCCATTGTTTCAAGTTTCCTATTATAACATATTATACTTTTGATGAAGCTAAGATCTTCCCATAAGAACAGAAACATATTCATATTTATACATACAAGAGGTGCTTTGCTGCTGCCCTGAATCAAAATGTAAGCGACAGTGTGATTTTCCTCCAGTTTTTCAGCGATGATTTGCAAAGGTACCGTACTGACAACGCGTGGATGGAGTAAGCCCTGGCAAACGAATGTTACACGATATAAAATCACGCAAACAAGTTGATTTTACTGGTACAAATATATACATGCGACAAATAAAATTGAAAAGCCGAAGAAAAAAAAGCTTCTGATATGTACCTTTGCTTCGGGACTTGAAAAACGAATCCTGCTGGAATTTTCCCCCACCTGGAGAAAAATACAGTTAAATATTTTGTCGTGCGTACATGTGAAATATTCGGGTTTCCAGACACCCACAATTTATATTTTGTGGTTGTCCATTATAGGTGGCAAAGATCAAAAGACAAAATGATTTTCGCCATGATGGTTGAAATCTGAATTTGAAACAAAGAAAATGCTTTGATAAGTTCAACCAACATGGCGGCCATGACGTAACATGCAACCATTGAACCAAAATACATGGAACGATGATGTTAGAAAAGTCTAACAATTTTTGAAACCAAATCTTACACCCAGACACGCGTGTGTAGTTCAATCAATGAGCTACTTGCTTCAGGTAGCGTTCCATGTATTTTAGTTGAATGCATGCAGCCTACCTAAACGAAGGACACTCGCAAATTTAGGTTATTGCATTTGACGTTTAACATATATTTAATGACATGTTTTAGGTGCAGCAAATTTTCAAATTAGGGTAATTGGCTTTAGCACGGAAGCATAGTTTGTACAACATCCAGGTTGGTGTGTGGGGGTCTTGGTGGGGATTGTTGGTGTTAATGTTGACTGACGTTTCGACAACTTTAGCGGTAGTAATTTTCATTTAAAGTTTTACTTCAGTCGATTTTTTTACATAGTGAGCATTAAACACCTTTTAAAAGCTGTCAAAGCCCATGCTTGAAGCAATCACAAAAAATGATTTTCTTTCTGCTTTGGGTTTGTTCTCCTGGAAATTACGATGGAAACTAATGCGAGTCTTACCTGTGAAGTAAGTTCATATCTTGCAGGAAGATCTGAGTCGTTCATCAACTCCACTGTCATCTCGTAAGGATGTCCAACGAAACATTTTCCAAAATCCAATAACGGGGTGAGAATGTTAATGGCGGGAACAATACATCTATATGAATGATGAAAACTTCATAAATGATAAGAATTATTTTCATCAATTATTCAACAAATGAGCCTTGATTGAGCTACGTCCCGAGTCTCCACGACGACAAAAGCTCGAAGATATGAAAATTGAGAATGCTCAGTTAGGAATGAGTTTTAATCGTCACTATCTCCAGAAGTATACATGCTATAAAGATGATTTTTACACCAGTTGAAAGCTCTCGACAAGACCGTTTGAATGAGCTTTCAAAGAGCTTTCCCGAGAAAAGGTCGAAGAGATAGAAATTGAGCATTCTCAGGATGGAATGAGTTTCGGTGTTTGCCAAATTCAAACATATGTACATAGTTCCAATCTCATTTCTATTTAAATAGCGTTGTGTATGTAATAAACCAATCCATCAACATTCAATCAAGTGGAAGCACGTATACGTTGTGTGTTGTATCACTAAGGATAATAGTACATAAGCCTAAGCAATAAATCTTCCCAGATTTTAAAGATATATTTTCCACTCAGAAACTTTCCCAGACTGGCATTTCTTTTTCGAGGTTTGCATATCCATATCCGATTCAAGCAAACAAATAAAGACGGCAAATCTTAAAACCTCTCTGCACTCTGATTGGACATACGATTTTCTTCCCTAGTGAAAAAGTCGTATCTGCATTTAGATTGCACATACCATATCTTTCACTAGTTACTGTTTTTCACTATTACCGCTAATGATAAACAAAATATTAATTGCAATCCTTCTCAACTCACGCAATAAAATCTTACGCACTCACAAACCATGAAGTAATCTATTTATATCAAACAAAACCAATGAGCCACAGAAATCGTGATCAGCGTTTAATGGAACCCACTGTGAGCAAAATTGAACAAATATGTATGATGGTACGGCAACAGGTAGCCACCAAAATGTAATCAAACTAAGAGTGACCCCTACCGTCCCCTTCCTCTCTCTCTTACACAAAAACCATTGTGGATAGAACAGGTAACAAAACTTACTTTGCCAGCATCGGCAAAGATGCTATCTCCTTTCCAACACCTTCTACATCAACGACCAAAGACACGATGTGCTTCTTCACTATAGTTGATATCAACTCAATCTATGAAAATTTTAAGATATTTCATTGCAATTTGAACTAAATTTTTACGTGGTGTGCAATTGCTTGTGCATTTAAAATTTTCCACCTTAATTCCTTGACTGCTACGTGGTGCAAGCGTAGCAGTGACAGGAGTGATATTGAACTCTTTATGTCTGTGTGGCAGTGTACCGTTATCCTCGGTATGTAGCTCATTGACATCACTAGCAGGGACCCGTAGTGTAAATGTCATAGGAATCAGCGATGTGTTGATTAGTGAACACTTCTTTGTGTACGAAAAACCTGTAAAACAAAACGAGAATCGTGAATATATCCATACATAAGAAGGGATAGGTATTCCTCTTCATTAACTGAGAATAAGAACCAGTTCTGACAAGCTTATACGCTTGTATGTAGAAAAAAACGTGTGGTCTAGACGCAATTTGAGCTGTTGCATCATCGCTCTATTTGTAAAACAAAAATTTCGCAATTCCAATTGAATTTTCATTGAAAAGAACTCGTAAAATGACAGTAGACTTTCCAAAACAGTTTATGCATATCTCTTGTAATTTCTGATTTATACTTCAACTAGTTAGGTCAGATTGCATAAAGAGTCGCAGCTAATATAAAAATATCTTTAAAGGAGAAGAAATTGAATAAACCGTCTGAAAAGAGGAAATCAGCTGAAGTTTGGAAAATATTTCACATCGAACTATTTTATTGCTATTTCAGTTAGTCGAGGAAAATAATAAAACATTTATTGAGTTCGACTTTTGCAGGATATAAAATCATTCAGACATCCGTTTCAATACTTGCTCAATCTTATTCAATAATTGTTAATTATTACGTATGTAGTTGTTAAAGGGACGAAACTAGAACGTTAAGTGGGGGGTGAATATTCATATATTCAGCTCTTCACTGCTGACTTCTCTTGAAATTCTAATCAACTAACAAAACAAAAACTGACAAACAAAATCAATCAAGCAGTGCTGAATACACATGAATATTCAACCAACCAACCCCCAACTTAACGTTCTAGTTTCTCTCCGGAACAAAGTGTGGTATTTATACGGGAAAACTTTGTGTATTAACCGTTCGCGTATTAAAAAGTACATAAAACTCCAACATACCATAGGAAACAACACCAAAATCAATTTTCATAACGTCAAAATGAAATGTTGGACCAATGACTCGCCCACTACATATAATCAATAAAATGTTACAAAAGGACCATACATAGAAATTACGGAGGAGATGACAGTCGCTTACTGGACAGAGAACACAAGTTTCTCGGAAGATCCTTCAATTGACCAGAAGAAATCTTCGCTTAAATTGCCAAGGATTTGTGAACAGAAGTCGATCTGAAACGGCCAGCATGCATGAATCAACGCAATTTGGAAAAAAGCAAATATAAAGATGTTGTTTGCATTAAAGCTCTAAGTACCATTTGAACCAGTTACAAGGAATGCAATTTTTTACCAGATCTGGTAGCATGAGCATAAACACTTCCCTCCATTCAGAACTTCGTAACTAGTACATAGAGCAGATTAGAGTGTTTAAGCTCATCAGACCAGATCTAGTACAAACATCAGCATTTATGGTCAGTTAGCCATACTGGTCAGAACGTAACATGCTATGTGTAACTGAAATGTAGATTGAACCAAATTTTTTATTCGTAAAAATGTGATGCAATACACGCGTAATACCTTAATTGCTTGATAACCACCGGGTCGTACTATTCCTTGAGAAGGTAGAAATTTAAAAAGAGGACCAAACATAGATTGAGAATCGAGATATGAAAACACGGCATCGATGTCTCCTTTGTTTGCAAGGACAATCTGAAAGAAATCGGGAGATTAGAAAAACTCGTGGAAAAATAGTGGACAAGCGGTAGGATATCAAAAAAGCCAAAAACCTGAAGAAAGCACAAATCGTATACGAGAGAAAATATTTATAAATAAGGGTAAATGCACAGCTGCGCATTTAGCCATCGTGGATCGCACAGTAGCAGATTGGTTAAAACAAAAATTAACGATAAAATGGATGGTCAACAAGGTAGTTTTGACATTGTATACGTACAAGTCTTTCCATCTTCATTGAAGTCGTCAAATTTAAATCAATCATCAATCATCGATTTTTATTAATGATTGCAATCATCAACGAATCATCCATCATTAATGCTCTTCTCTCACTTTCTTATAGTCATTAAAGAATTATTGTCAACCACAATGCAGCGCGTGCTCAAATGATCTTCGCGGCCATTTTCTTGGTTGAATAAATAGACAAACGTTGTATCAGTTTGTAATCCGTATACTCTATGCATCTTCTGTGGATGTATAAAACTTTGTGTTGTTTTTGGATGAAAGAAGTATTGAAGCTTGCTAGTGATATTTTTCATAAACGTTCTGTTTGGGTGAGCAAAAAACTATTCAAAACTATAGCAAGCTCAACGGTTGAAAACATGCCTAAAAGAAGACCAAAACTTGGTATTCAAATAAAACTTGGGATTTTGAATCAGACATTTTTAACTATTGTCGTAATTGTATGAAGTGTCTATGAGAAAGACCATCGTGCATGATCGAATAAACTATCATATTTAGCACGACTATAAACAAACACGAGGCACGCGTTGCATTATGGTTGACAAGTGGGTAAAAACACAATAACCGGATCAAGCGTTCAAACATTAAAAAATTAAAAAATTTCTACAACATTGTCTTTGTGTCCAAACTTAGCAAATAATTGCATACATATAACACCTTAAAGGAAACCTTAAATCAAAGCAAACCTCGTATGAATGCTTTGAGTTTACAAAAATATTTCCGATATCCAGCGAATCCAATGAAAACATTACTCGAGGTCCTATGCCCTCCCCTCTTATCCTCAAAGGAAGCCTGGATTCTCTTCCCGATACGTCACAGTACATAGTTCTTGCATAGCTAAAGAAACAAGTTGACACAAAAAATGAATGGTTAAGTTCTGTTCTGTGTTTTTACGAATCTTCAATTATACATAAAAGCATCGCTAACTATTGGACTGCCAACCACAGCTTAAGACGTGTAATCATGCAAAAACACCATTCAAGGAAAAACAAATTCTTCATAATAAACGAGTTTGCAAGATGGCAACTTAGGAGCGCTCATAAAGCAAAAGTTCATATACGTTGCATTAAAACCCTATACAACATCAAATCCCCGCATAGTCAACAAAAAAAGGATAATGTTGAAGACTAATTTATCGCGTGAATAAAGCATATTCTAGACAAGTATAAAATTGAACATTCTTCAGTCACTTTCGAATTAAACAGAAAAAAATAAACTACACAAATCTGACAGCAATTCATGGAGAACGACTTTAAAATAAAGTGATTTTTTGTTGAAACATGCACAATGGGAAAAATCGTTTCTACTAAAACAATTGAGATTACGAAAACTACGCTCTTTACCTCTGGGCTTCCAAAGGAGAAAAAGAAATATCTATTTCCATTGAAGAGTTTGGCCAAATGACACCTTGCTAAAAATTAAATAGCAAAATAAAATGAGAAACGTACGTTCAAAAGCGATAGATAACATTAAAACCCAGCATTTTATTTAGGCGACTATTCTCACTATTGTTTAAGCGTTCTTTGAGTATAAAACCATCAACTTGTCGCAACGAAAGTGTATTTAGCCTAATTATAATTTGTTTGATAACATGTGCCAGGAGGAGACAATCGAAGTTAATTGATAAGCTACAGTCAGTTTGAAGATGATCGAACGATTAACAGAATGAAGCGTAAGTTGGTTTTTTAAAACAAAAATTAACAATACACTTACATAAGGTAGAACTTTAAGAACGTCATCTATGTAAATCAGTTTGTCCGCGTCAACAATCTGGAAAACAGCAAACACTTTATAAGTCTTGTGAAAACAAACGTCGATCAGTTAAACTGTTTTATTGCTGGTCATTAAAGGTACTTGGCAACACATTGAATTGCTTTTTTCATTGAACGTCGTTACTATAGTAACTTGTCTTCTTTCATTACATATCGTAGAGAGAAACTTGCCTCTTTCCTAGTTTGAAAAGAACGTTGAAGAATCGATATCTGATCGCAGATAGTCACATCTTGCGCGCATTCCATAAGAAAAACTTCCTTTTCCATTTCCTCTTCTCGTCTCAAATCCATCTTACATCTAAGTGCACAATGAAAATCAATGATATATAAAACGTGACTACATAAATGCGGTTTCCTATGCGTATGCAACAGTGAAAACTTTCATAAAAACCCAACCAAATTTAGGACCAGTCTCCAATTCATTGTGGTTATGTGATGATAACCACCATTAGCGTTCAACAGTAACGTATGAAAGAGCAAGCGCTTTCCCATCGGTATTGCAGACATTGCATGACTGTGTTCAATCTTTTGCATATATTATTATTGCAGCCAAGCTTAACATGTCCAGTGTATTAACATTAGTGACATCCATTGGTTTTAAATTTGATCAATAAGACAAACGAGACTCCGTGGATGAAAATTTGTGATATAATATGGTATTAAATCGTAACTGGCAAGAAAGACGGTTTTACTGATGAGTTTTACTGGCAAGAAAGACGGTTTTACTGATGTGTTTTACTGGTAAGAAAGACGGTTTTACTGAAGAGTTTTACTGGCAAGAAAGACGGTTTTACTGATGAGTTTTATTGGCAAGAAAGACGGTTTTACTGATGAGTTTTACTGGCAAGAAAGACGGTTTTATTGATGAGTTTTATTGGCAAGAAAGACGGTTTTACTGATGAGTTTTATTGGCAAGAAAGACGGTTTTACTGATGAGTTTTACTGGCAAGAAAGACGGTTTTACTGATGAGTTTTATTGGCAAGAAAGACGGTTTTACTGATGAGTTTTACTGGCAAGAAAGACGGTTTACTGATGAGTTTTACTGGCAAGAAAGATGGTTTTACTGATGAGTTTTACTGGCAAGAAAGACAGTTTTACTGATGAGTTTTACTGGCAAGAAAGATGGTTTTACTGATAAGAAAGACGGTTTTACTGATAAGTTTTACTGGCAAGAAAAATAGTTTTACTGATGAGTTTTACTGGCAAGGAAGACGGTTTTACTGATGAGTTTTACTAGTATTGCATTTAGATTCCCACCTCTCCTTGTGCTGTAGTTCTTCTGTAAGTGTGGCAAATCTCGTCCAGCGGAAATTAACGATATGATCGCTTCTGTTTTGTATTAAAACCGTCCTGTAGAAGACCAAAGTAGCTAAAGATCACGAGATGACTAATTCTCTATACGCTAGTTTCGTGTGAACGGCATTACCTTTGAGATGAACGCGATATAAAAGTGTTCTCGAGTTTTAAAGTATTTTTATCCAAACGTACATTCATGTCCAAGGCAGCACCATAGAGAGAGATGTACACATCTTCACCTAAAAATAATGTATTTTTGAATAGCCTTTTAAGCGATATGCACTACATACAGATCGTCCCATACATGAAGTATGGGACGATCTGTATGTAGTGCATATCGCTTAAAAGGCTATTCATATATTGGTTGCCTTGGCAGTAGTGCATTCGATTTGCTAATGCTATGTATCACCATCACCCTTCCCACCTTCCCACCATCACCCCTCTTCTCACCATCTCCACCCCTTCCCACCATCACCATCCCTTCCTACTATAATCATCCTTTCCCACCATCACCACCCCTTCCCACCATCACCACCCCTTCCCACCATCACCACCCCTTCCTACCATCACCACCCTTTCTCACCATCACCCCTTTTTACCACAACCCCCTTCCCACCATCCCTATCTCCATATTACCATGATCTTACCTGTATCGTAATGTAAAATCATGTTGCAGTCGTAATCTCCAGTTTTTAAAGCTTTAAACTCAACATGAATCTGCATGCTTTCTCCGACAGCCAAAATACCTTCGTCTGGCTTTACTGAAAACGGGCTGAAAATTTTAGTGAAATAATTGAGTTAAATGGGCAAAATGCTACTTTCAAAACAATATAAATTGTGATGTTTGCATCAATTATGAACTAGCGGCTGCTCACATGAGTTGTGCGGGGAGGTCTAGAATTGGGTGTTTTACATGCAAAATTCTTTCCCCACATTAAAAGTAGGGCTTGTATCATGCGCTTTGACGTTAAATACAAAATGGCTGGCAACAAGCTAAAATACTTTTTTGGGGGTTTTTCACACTTTCTTGATGCGTAAGCGCCCGTTCATGACTTTTTTGCCATCATTGTTGAAAAGCAATTCTTTATCACAACCGTATTTGTTACATTTTCAGCCAACGGTTGGAAGTTGCGTTCACATAGAAAACGCCACTGCCTTACGTCATAGACCAATAAAATGCAATATTAAAGTGTTTACGCAGTAAAATTTTTATATACTTTTTTATAACCTCAATTTTACATTGAGTGAAAGTGGACTAATTTCAACACCAAAAGTTGTCCTCTTGTGCGAATTTTTTTGACCGCCATGTTTGTTCATTTGACATCATAGGTAGTACGGACGTCGACAAACTAATAGCCGCCACTTTTGATGTCTATAAATTCAAGCTGAAAAGACGAAATTTAACTCTGTTTCCATAAAATGATGCTGAGAGCAAGTACGTTTGAATAAGCAAATAAAACAATGTATGAAAATTTCACTGCATAAGCACTTTAAAGAAGGCTTGCTACTGAATACGTCACATCCGTTTGAGCTATCGCATAAATTACACTGCATTAATCAAGCTCACATAAACGGCTTCTAACTCTGTTCTGGGAGCATCTTTTATAAATTTTTTATCATTTTTTGGTAGAAGTAAAAATACAAGCTATACAACCGAAAATGCACTACCATGCTGAAAATAGGGCCCAGGGATCGCGCAAACATCGATAATGGAAGGGGGGGCAATATTCATAAATGCAAGTTCTACTTTAGTAATTTTTAATGAAATCCATTTTGTTAAGAATTAACACGGATTAAAATCCCCCATCCTCCCCATCCCAATTATCCATCGTGCGCTGCCAACTTGTGACGTTTAAGGGAGCAAACATTTCTTCAATATTGCATAGACTCATATGAGAAATATGGGTCTATGACGTAGGCTACCATAAGATGTCACACACCTGTTCAAAGAGAGAGAAAATTTTGCTACTCTGTTTCCAATATTCCTGACAAACAAGGTCTTCGTGGTGAGATCTTTCACGGGACAACTGCCGAAATTCACAGCATCGGGAAAATCTATGATGGCGCGGCCTCCTATTGCTTTTACAGGAACAAGAAATTTCTCTCTTTCCGTAATACATATCAGTTCATGATGATAATCCTGAAGCACATAGGTGGACACGATATGAGATAAGGAAAACGTAAAGAAAGCATGATGTACGTGAAAAAGTTATTTCCACTAATATCTACGGCAAGCAACTTCACAGACATCTTTTTTTATTGAAGGCTCTTTTGCTCACGTGGTTCTTTGTAATATTTGATGAGATAAAGATTGCTCCAGGCTTCAATCAAATGAAAACTACTTGGTCGAAATTTACTTGGCCGACAAATGGTTGGCTAGCAAGCCAGTAGCAAATTGTCGAAAAAAGTTGCTACCGACTTGTTGAACTAACAACTTGAAACAAGAACAATGCGTACAATAAGTCGATGCAAAGTAGTGACAGACAGTAGAGGTAGAGGTAAAAAAAATCTTGTACTAAATACCACATATCACACTTACATAATGTAACTGTTAGCCTAGATTATATGACTGAATTCTGTTCTGTACACGTCACAGCATATGCGTTCTTGACTTTTTGCCCTGGGTTGGGATATTCTGGAAATTTCTAGTGCCTTGGGGAAAACCCCCCTCTCCCACCGAATATTTGATAGAGTGCTTGCCACAAACGCAAAGCTATCGCAAACATGCAAAAGCAACAAATTTTGACCGGAATTATTTTATTCTTTATGTTTCAGTTTGTGCATTAAGAGTAGAACTATTATTGGATAACGGAGTTTAATGTCATATGTAGTGGATCAAGTAAAAGTACATCAATCTTGGGAAATACACAGCGTAAGACCAATGCTTGAAAATAGATGCACAGGCTTCAGAGATTATATGGTTATTAACAGGAATGGATTATATTGCAATATCGATAAAATGACATCAAAAAATAAAAGTGGCTTGGTGAAAATGCACCAATGTTTCATATTAGTTGCGGGTGATCGGAACTCATGAATATGATGATTTCAGTCAAGGAAAACGCCTGAATTCTAAAAGCTCACTCACCATCGCACCCATTGAGTGCGACACATGAATCACCATCACACAAATGAATGACAAAGCCATTTCTCAATCGATGGCAAGACTTTCATTCAAACATTTCAAATCAAGACGACATTGGAGTGAAAACGACGTCTTCTAATAATCTGATGGAGGTGGTTTTTAAGCCAAACTTAGTGACTGTGAGTGAGCTTTTACTTGTGGCCAACCGGCCTTAAAAAATACTCCGCATAAGGCCGTGCGCCAGTACATGAAACATTGCAATAACTGCATGAGTTTAAATACCTTTTTTTGATCAGCTGTAAACTGTACCATAAACACTTTATCCATACCAGGAGCTACTTTATGACCGACGTCATTCGGACTGATCACTTTGAAATAAGGAGAGTCAGTCCCAGTCACCTTTATCAAGCGAGCAACCTTGAAATATGCAAGAGTATGGTTGAAAAAAAAATTCAGCTTCCGTTTGATTTTTTGCAATAGCAAAAAAACGTCAATGTACGTGTAGCGTGGATCACCAGGTGGTGCAGCCAGCCTAGCAGTGCCACAACCTGTAGTAGGGTAACGCCACTGCGTGGAACCATGGATAACTTACTTACTTTATCGTTATTTCTGAGCCTCAAAGGAACTTGATATGTTTCATAAGGTTCGTAGTTTTGAAACACGATGTCAGATGGAAATGGTTGAAACATGGGCTCGTCTATGTTCAAAGATGTAAACTGGAAAAAAAGCGAAAAACATTTAAGGAAAAATCACATTTGACAAAATTATGACTTGATGCAGAATCATTAGAAAGCATTTCAATTGTGATTCGGCGAGTACAACGTTATTGTCCATCTGTAAAAAAGTTGGATGAATGATGGAGGATTTTTGAAGGGAAGAGGTGCCATCTCTCAAATATTAGGAAGTCCCCCCGCTAAATACATCCTTCACCACTCAAGAAACATTATACCTCCTTCTTAATATTCAGCAAAACAAATTACTAATACAGTTGAACTGAGCTTCACTGAGCAATGATTCAACTCAGTACACTACCTATGGTGGCTACACTACTCGACCGCACAACAGTCCTTACTCACATACTTTGTCATACTTCATTTTCTTGCCACAGTTCACCCCCTAAAATTACTAGCATCGCCCCCGTGGAAAATATCAAAATACACCAATGGAGTAAATAGTGACAAAGGTGGAGTCAAAGTTGAAAGATCTTTCCCCTCTATCACTATCGATTAGTGAGTGTGTCAATTGGTGTTACAGTCATTGAATGAGAGTATGAGTGATCCAAGAGTAGAAGTCCTCTGTATGAGATAGAAGGGAAATGTCCCCCAACCCTACTTTTCAAAAATCAATGGTTTCAATAATTGTAAAAGATTAGGAATGAAAACTAAAACTACATCTGGCCACTTTTCAAAAGAGATGATCCCAGGGTTTGCATTGAGATTGGATTACATGCACTAGACTGTTTGGTGAAGTGTTAAAAGGTGAGTGTACCAATCTAATGTGACAATCTTAAATAAAGCAAAAAAATCAAGAAGTAATCAATGGCAATAGAATGGCAGTTGCACATTCAGTCTAAAAATTTAGAGTCCCTTTATTTCATAAGCTTGTTCTGCTTCATTAAATTCTCCTCAAATCAGATTAAATTACAGATTACAACACAAATACAGAACAGTGGCTTCAAATTAATGAAGTTCACAATGTCATTGTACATAAGTTCCTCCCTGCCTCCTCTTGTCTATTTACAGAAGTGGATCTCAATTTTAAACATAAAAAATTTTCTCAAGCCTTCACCTTCTTATGAGTGGTCTCAGACATGTCAAGAAGCTCGATAATTTTTGGTAGTCGCATCTCGTGTGTCTGCTTTAGTTTTTCCTCCGTTGTCTGTTGCATTTCAGCAAGATATGCTGAAGGTGCTTGCTAAAAAATATGGCCACATGTCAAATATTGACAAAGAAAGAAGTCAAAATACTTCAATATTTTTATTCACACAGAAATGAGATAGTATAATTCAATTGAGCAATATTGAAGGAAAAATACAGCTAGTATTAATGGAGCATTATAAGCTTGCTGATCAATTGTTAATGTTCAGGATGTGAGCCTTGCTTATTGAAACCTAACGATACAACAGTGATATCACAGGATACAGAAATTTTCCTCCAGTAGCCACTTAGATATGTTAATGGAGGATATTAGATTTTAACAGGAAACTAATAGCGTCTGATCACCATACATATGGCTTAGTAGAAAGCTGATGGCATATAGTGCTTACAAGAGTCACTCTAGAGGGCCCTCTGAATATTAGTATTCTGTGGTCGAAACGTTTAATACTGTTTACTCAATATGTAGTGTCTATTGTTTTATGTTTTTATTAAAATACTCTTTAGCTGTCATAATTTTTGTGGTAATATGTTCTGTTGAGATTAACTGAATTCTTTTGAAACCGTCTGTCAAGCAGAGCTGAGCAAAATACGTTCATTTCCGATGAATGTTTTAGATACTCCCCTGCTTTTTACACAGTTCAAGAGTTTTAGCAAAAGTTTATAAGCAAGCTCTCATGTACATATTATTTGATTTACTTCTGTTCAAAACTGTGCTTATGTATACACAATATGTGAGCAAGTGTTTTAAGATTTTCTGCCCAGTAAGCAAATGATTTTGAGCGTTTTATGCTACCTTCTCAGGCAAAAGATCGCCTCTGATCAATTTTGGATTTTTTGGCATCACAATTGGACAATGAATTCGACTCTCTTTCTTCATATAGTCGGCAGTTTCTAACTTTGATTCAAAGTTTGTCGAAGTTTTGACTTCCATTTTAAAGACTGAAAAATGATACAAAACAATTATTATTCTGCCATTTGCTTTCGTCGTGCAAGTTTCGTTTTTATCCGAAACGTTCACATCATCAAGTCAAACTCTGCACATAAAATTTCGTCGACCAAAGTTCTGCTTTGCTTTTACGTGAGGTCTCCATAGCAACGTAACGTCACCACGAATTTGGCCGCCAAATTTTGTTTCCTTCCTCGCGATGGCAACGCACGCTATGTTAATATTTTAGTGTAACAATACGTTACCAAGGTATTTTAAAAATTGATTGCGCGCTCTTTGATGCACGAAGCCTGTATTCAAATTTCTTTGATTATTTCTCTTTATTTGTCCTCCATTTCACACGTAGCGAAAAGAAATAAGTCCTTCAGTTTCAATCCATTTGATAGGAGTTAAGAGTGTGTAATAAGTGAGCCATTTTCATTTCCCAGTAGAGTCCACCAAATAGAGTCCCATTAGCTAATGCCAAGGGGCCCATAGGCTAGTCCGAGCCTGATAATCATCTCAAAAATACCTCAAAATAATTGTACATACACGCTGTTCATAGTAATAAGGGAAGTATCACTACTAAACACCAGGTTTGCATTTGCGCAGTTAATTCATTAATTTACTTAATTCGTAAAGCGTTCTGGTATAGTTCTATTTTGATTAGAAACTAGAAACCATTTATTTTTTTCCCATACAAGGCAAGCCGAAGCTAGCCTGATCTTTTACTTCTGCAATGCAAATTTTTCACGTAAATTATCATCCATTGCTTTAAAAAATTAAATCCATTCATTGTGTTTCAAGTTATAGTTAAACAACTATATTTGCAATGTAGGAGCAAAAAAAACGAGCTGGCTTCGCAACTTTACCAGATGAATAGAGGTAACAAATATTATGTTGTTCATTTATTTATCTGTCTTCTCACAAAAAAATCTGAAGGTCAATGAGAAATCGCTGAAAATTCTAACTAATGATGACTGACAAACAAATGTCATTCTTCGATGGCCACATTTCATCTCACTTAATTCGAAAACGTTATCAATATAATTCAAAAAATATCTTATTAGGTCAGGTCAATTTCGCATAATTTGTCCCAACTAATTTCTTGACTTCCGTTTTCGAAATACGTAAGATAGGCAAAATTCTTTGGGCATTCGTATGAATGACCATGAACAGTGACATGACTAGAAAACAGTTCCTTAAACGTGACATCTCTGATTTCCGGTTTCATTTTCATGTCGCGTAATGGCTGTGCATCGATCCAAATTTGTCTTTTTCAACCATTTAAAAGTGAAATTGTAAAATGTATCAAATTGCCTACGAAAAGAATGCGTGATTTTATTGCTGTTTGCTTTTAAGCGCGGCACGACGTCCTGTCAGGGCCTGGAAACCAGATTTTATGCTGGCGACGGAGCAACGCGATCCACAAGTTTCGCATTGAAGGAAGAACAACCTTGTCTCTTTTTGAAGAATGGTGTCAGGTGATCTGCATGTATGACAAGTGACATATTCCTCTGTGAATGAACAATAATGATAAAATTAAAACGATCAACTTCTAACAACACAGTCCTATATCAATACGTTTTAGCCAAAGGCAGAACGCTAGGATGATCAAAGCATATAAAGCAACCTCGTGTATCTAATTCTTCTTAACCCTTTCCACAGTAAACTCAGGAAAAAATCAATAATTTTAAATCGATACTTCCTCCTGATTGAAATACGACAGAGGACAAAAACGTTTGTTATGAGATTACGATAATGCTCTTTTCAAATTTCAAGTGAAATTATTACCCCATTTCAGGCATTGCAACTAAAGATCAATGTATATCAACCTTTGAACTGATCAAAGCTGAAAGGTTAGTTCCCACGAAAATTTGAATCTGGAAACGTAACAAGTCTCAAAGGTTTCGTAACAACAGTACACTAGAGGTGTAGAGTTGTCTTCTGGTAAAATTTGGCTTCAAGCAAGAACAGGCAGGTTTACTTAAAAGTATATAGTCCGGTCAGTAGGGTGAGACATAACATCGCTGTGATATTAAATGATTATTTGATAGACTTCTGTAATGCACACGTGCCATAGAGATTATAAATAAGACTTGAGGTGGCATTGATGACGTTTTTAGGCGACGCGTGAATTGGGGGGATAATTTAGGTCCGGATTAAAACACGAAGTAAACAAATGATGTTTTTGCCGTCTGCTTCGAGTTTTGGATTCTTTTTTAATATACTGTAGAAAGTTTTGTTGCTTTTTGTACGAGAATCAAGAAAATTTGTTATTTCAAAGCGTCAGTAATTGTTTTTAGCGAGCTGTTATATTGATTACATGTTTGTTTTGTATGTTTTAATTACAATGAATTTTGTCCATAAAGAGATTTTAAGGAAGTGAAAATTAGTCGGATGTTAGTGACAGTGCAGAAGCGTTTGATGATATCTATAAGTCTGTATTGTGTGTGTGTTGCAAAGGATGTCCGATGCACGGTAGTTAAAGCAAAGCGTTTTTATGGACTGTTCGTTGTTGTTGGTCGTGGTTGTTATATCGGATGTTTTAGTGTTTGCTTTGCAGTTGGTATTAGTTTTGTCATGGAGATATCGTTTGACAGCTTTGTTGATGAAGTGTAGTGGGAAAGAGTTGCGTAATAAAATAGACGTGATGCTCTCTAGGTCTTGTATTTACTACAGTATTTACATACTATGAAAAAATCATAGTTTTCTACGGTAGCTTAACATTCGGGAATGAATTTTGCCCCCAAAAAACGCGTACCATATTTTTAACTATAGATTATACTATGATGCCACCTCCTCTAGTCTTATTTATAATCTCTATGCACGTGCCAGCAGACGCATTAAACCTTCTTTTGCGTGTAGAATTATTTGTACGTAGGTGTTAAATTTCTAGGAATCAAATTTTATAAGTATACCGATAGGTATGCCCTAGGATCACCCTAGAAATCTCATGCCTCGAGGAAAAGCCCCTCCCCCGACGAATATTTAGTTCTATAAATGAGTGTTTTTAACGAGCACAAATAAAGTGTTGAATGCCAACAATCATGCTTTGTGCGCGCAATCAGCCATTTATAAAGCAAGAGTATTTGTGATTTAACCCCTCTCAATCGCGGGAATTCTTGTTGAATTATTTATCTTTAAAGTGACAGTCGATTGTAGAATTTTTTTGTAAGAGGAGATGTGACATCATCCAAGTCAGCGTTGAATAAAGTCAGCGTTGAATAAAGTCAGCGTTGAATAAAGTCAGCGTTGAATAAAGTCAGCATTGAACTCCAATATGAAAATAAATAAATGCGCGCAATGCATGATGGTTGACACAATGACCCTCAATCTTTGAAACTTACTTATGTATCTTCGGAGAACGCTTTCAATTTGTTTCTGTTGGAAACGTCCTTTAATTATCAGCTGATTGTTGCTGTCAATCGAACCACTGCAAAAAGTGCAAGAAATATTAATGTTTCTCGCAAACAATTCTTTTCTTGCAAGAACTTACCACAATCACTGAGCCTATACGTACATAACTAGACTAACTGTAAAGCCTATACGTACATAACTAGACTAACTGTAAAGCCTATACGTACATAACTAGACTAACTGTAAAGCCTATACGTACATAACTAGACTAACTGTAAAGCCTATACGTACATGGCTAGACTAACTGTAAAGCCTATACGTACATAACTAGACTAACTGTAAAGCCTATACGTACATAACTAGACTAACTGTAAAGCCTATACGTACATAACTAGACTAACTGTAAAGCCTATACGTACATGACTAGACTAACTGTAAAGCCTATACGTACATAACTAGACTAACTGTAAAGCCTATACGTACATGACTAGACTAACTGTAAAGCCTATACGTACATAACTAGACTAACTGTAAAGCCTATACGTACATAACTAGACTAAAGCGCGGGCCACACTATCGTCGAAATGTAACGAATTTCGTGACGAGTCGCTCGTCAACGAGAAAATATGACGATATGGACGAATTCGTCGCCGTTGAGCATGCACACCGAAATCGTCAACGAGTGACGAGTAATTGTTGCATATCTACTCTGATTGGACAAAAAAAATCACATGACTAATGTTTGCTTTCACTGTGCTGTGGCAAAATGGCGGATTGGCAAGAAATATTAATTGAGCTAGTGAGAGAGAGGCGATGTTTGTGGGACAAATTTCATCCTGACTATAAAGATACACGCAATATAAAGGAAAATAATTGGAAGGATGTCGCTCGGGAACTGAAAGTTGCGACCAATAGAGCTTGACGAAGCTCTTGCAACAACGTGTCATACAAGCCCTTCTCTTTCTCTCCTTTTATTTATGGGATGTACCCAGAACCTTCTTTTTTATGTACGTCGTTTTGCAGAAATTAGAAGCAGTAGAATTTTTCTCTTCAATAATAGAAGTTTCTTTTTGCGCTGATAATCGTCCATGCTTGTACGGAAAATCGTTACAATGTGGCACAAGTACTCGTCACGACGGGTCGTTGACGAGCGACTCGTCACGAAATTCGTTGCATTTCGACGATAGTGTGGCCCGCGCTTAACTGTAAAGCCTATACGTACAAACTAGACTAACTGTAAAGCCTATACGTACACGACTAGACTAACTGTAAAGCCTATACGTACATGACTAGACTAACTGTAAAGCCTATACGTACACATGACTAGACTAACTGTAAAGCCTATACGTACATAACTAGACTAACTGTAAAGCCTATACGTACATGACTAGACTAACTGTAAAGCCTATACGTACATAACTAGACTCACTGTAAAGCCTATACGTACATGACTAGCCTAACTGTAAAGCCTATACGTACATGACTAGACTAACTGTAAAGCCTATACGTACATAACTAGACTAACTGTAAAGCCTATACGTACATAACTAGACTAACTGTAAAGCCTATACGTACAAACTAGACTAACTGTAAAGCCTATACGTACATGACTAGACTAACTGTAAAGCCTATACGTACATGACTAGACTAACTGTAAAGCCTATACGTACACATGACTAGACTAACTGTAAAGCCTATACGTACATAACTAGACTAACTGTAAAGCCTATACGTACATGACTAGACTAACTGTAAAGCCTATACGTACATGACTAGACTAACTGTAAAGCCTATACGTACATAACTAGACTCACTGTAAAGCCTATACGTACATGACTAGACTAACTGTAAAGCCTATACGTACATGACTAGCCTAACTGTAAAGCCTATACGTACATGACTAGACTAACTGTAAAGCCTATACGTACATAACTAGACTAACTGTAAAGCCTATACGTACATAACTAGACTAACTGTAAAGCCTATACGTACAAACTAGACTAACTGTAAAGCCTATACGTACATGACTAGACTAACTGTAAAGCCTATACGTACATGACTAGACTAACTGTAAAGCCTATACGTACACATGACTAGACTAACTGTAAAGCCTATACGTACATAACTAGACTAACTGTAAAGCCTATACGTACATGACTAGACTAACTGTAAAGCCTATACGTACATGACTAGACTAACTGTAAAGCCTATACGTACATAACTAGACTCACTGTAAAGCCTATACGTACATGACTAGACTAACTGTAAAGCCTATACGTACATGACTAGACTAACTGTAAAGCCTATACGTACATAACTAGACTAACTGTAAAGCCTATACGTACATAACTAGACTAACTGTAAAGCCTATACGTACAAACTAGACTAACTGTAAAGCCTATACGTACATGACTAGACTAACTGTAAAGCCTATACGTACATGACTAGACTAACTGTAAAGCCTATACGTACACATGACTAGACTAACTGTAAAGCCTATACGTACATAACTAGACTAACTGTAAAGCCTATACGTACATGACTAGACTAACTGTAAAGCCTATACGTACATGACTAGACTAACTGTAAAGCCTATACGTACATGACTAGACTAACTGTAAAGCCAAAACGTACATAACTAGACTAACTGTAAGGCCTATACGTACATGACTAGACTTAAGCCTGTTTTCTACTAGCCACGTATCGTAACGTATCGTAGCAAAACGTAACATTGCGCATGCGTGCTTATGAATTTGATGGTCAATAGGCACAAGCACGCATGCGCCATGTTACGTTTTGCTGCAATACATTACGATACGTGGCAAGTCGAGAACAGGCTTAAAGGCCGATCTCCACTTCGACCGTCTCGTAGCGTAACGTAACGATGAGCATAAGCAGTGTCACTATCACTGAGCCCCTGCGCCTGGAACATCACGTTGTAGTCGTGCAGGGCTTAAGGACTTCACTGAAGGAAAACTAAGAATGATCCAAACCCGGTCTCCGAACTTCGATGTACGAATCTACTGCTCGCGCTATAAATTTAGAAGAACCTCAATTTCTGATTAACTTAATCGAAGAAGTGCGAAAATAACCTTGCATCTGGAACGTTTCGTCAAAGTTACATAAAGACAAACCAAGGAAATTGGAAGCATGGCGACGAATTTTTACTGCTTTGTGTGTACGTGGTATGTTATTTTAGCAATACACTTTTGCTTAAAATTTTGGAACCTAAGGGGCTGTTTACATGGTCCCGGGTAGCCGGGATTCTGCGAAGCGTTAAATGATTTTGGCAAATGGGAACGATTCAATACTTAACATAAGATAAATCTTCTTCAGCAATTTCAAAATATTCTGATTTTATAAATACCCAACTAATTTGGCCTATTTTTAGTATTACCATTGGAATAACTTGTGGCACTTTACGAACAGTTTTAATTTTTCCGCTAAAAATTTTGCCTCCTTTCAATGACTCAAAATTCTCTCACGCCTCACTGAATCCCGGTTAGCCGGGATCATGTAAACAGCCCCTAAAAGAACAAGATACCTGGTTTTCAAAAGCACAAATCCTTCAAGTTCATAAAACATGTAAAACCCTGTAATAACAAACAGTAGCCATTTCTGTAATCACAACAGTTCTTGGTTCAGCTTTTGCATTTGAAGTGTGTCTTATAATTACTATTGAGTGTGAAAATTGTATTGCTATTAACTGCCACTTTTTGGGTATAAATTTATGTCCAATTAAATGTGTTTGACTAGAAATATCTAGTTATGGGGGCTTTTCTTTATTTTATTAAATACTTCAGTTTATTGAACTTATACAACAGAGCCCCCTGATGAGTAAAAATAAGCAAGCAGTACATATTACAGCTTCTATATATTAAAACATTATATTATTCAAATGTCAATATCACAGTGACATGATACTGATCATCAAAATGCCAGTAGATTAAGAAATGATAGTATTAAATGAGCTTTATGTGGAAGTTCATATTCATGGATAAGAATAAATACGGTATGTCCATTTTGCAACATTCAATATTAAATTTAGTGTAGCTCACATCCTTATATTGCATTTTCCTTATGATACTCTCCATACATTTTGTCAATGAGCAAACCATTCACATCCTAAGAAGGTCTTGTCTGGTGTTAGACTGTAACAAAAATACTGGTGCACTCCTTATTGAGGTTAAAGTTCAGTAATTAGCCTGGGCCATAGCGAGAGAACTAAATTGGGAGAGGGGAGGTTTTTTCATATATTTATTTAAGCTTGACTGATTTCTTTAAGAAAGCCAAATCATTTTAAGAAGAAATCAGTCTGACTCTAGTGAACATAAGAATAAACACACCTCCTCCCCCCATTTATAGTTTTAGCTATGGATCTGCAATTGGCTACTAAACAACTATGTTTATGAAGGGCATAACATCTTCTAACAAATGCATTGAACAAAGTTTGATATACAGGTTTATATTTTTTCTAAATCTGGTGAATGTAGTTTGTAAAGAGTTTGACAGGCTGAAAGATAATTAGAGAAGATGCATTAACAAGCAAGGGTTGGCGATACGATCAGGGAGGGGAGCAAGTAAGAAATTGCCAATTTGTGAATATTTTGTTGAGTTGTCCTTTTTGCATAATGTGATGACTGGACGAAAAACTGAAACCAAAATCCAAATTGAAATTACTGATGTGCACTCCACAGATGAGGATAGACCCTTTAAATTATTTTCACCAATCACTGTGGACAATTCCCATGCAAAACTAGAAATTTCAGACTCAAAACCTCTTCAAAAGATTCGGTAAAGGCGATAAGATCATATTGACGATCTTTTGGCCTTAAGCCTTGCCAATGATATAGCAAATGCTAAAAATGGTGGTTCAAAAAAGACAACTAACCGAGAAGACCAGGACATTCTTTCCTGTTCCAGTTTAGTTACTACCTTTAGAAATTTCAATAATGATGACGAAATGTAACAGAATGTTTTTTTCCATAAACATTTTCAAGAAATTTATTGTTACAAATAACATTATTTTACAAATAACATTAAATACCACGTTATGTTATAAAAACAGTTGATTTAGTTAATCGTCATTTTGAAAACAATCTACTGTAGCATGTACTGCGTTCCACTGCCAGCGTACTTGTCCTTTTGGGGACATGAAGTAGTTTTTAAAATCTTCTCTAACTTGCTTTGCGTCACGAGAGTAATTGTTTGACCCAGCGTTGCCGACATCTCTTAAACCCTGATGTGACTCTGTCACTTTTCTCCATTCCCCAAGCTGTCCTCCGTTTTCTGTGTCGTTGTCCACGAAATGAGCTGGACAGTATTTCGTGCTGTGCGAAAAGAACCTTCCAGCCATAAGTTAATTGTGCAGAGCAACTGCTGCTTTTGTAATTTGAATAACCATTTCAACTCTGGCGTGAATTGGTCAACGAAATACACGAAATCGCACTGCTACAATTCCAAACGCATTTTCAATTACCCTCCTCGCTCGAGACAACCGATAATTGAATACGCGCTCAGATATTCCCAGAGCTTCTCTAGAGTACGGTTTCTGTAACTGAAAAGCCTCATCTGCCACTATGACAAATGGATTTTTGAGTGAAAGGAAATGCCTACGTCCTAGAAATGCCCAAGCTGTTTTTTTTAATTGATTCACCCATTGTACTGTAAGAAAATACACCACCTTCACTATTCCGTCCTGAGTCGCCAATATCAACCAATGTGAACTGGTAGTTTGCATTGCAAAATAGCCATTAAGACAATAGCATGAGTTTTCTTATACTAAAAGAGCATCGATCCAGAGTTAGCTGGTGCCTGCATCACGATGTGTTTTCCATCAAGCGCACCAAATACAGAGTAGAAAATTCCATTTGATTTCAAAACCCTGTGCTATGCACTTCCACTGTTCCTCATTGCTTGGACATTTCATCAATACCAATGAAAGTACTTTCCACAGTGCTTCACATGTTGAAAAGATGATTCGTCCAATAGTGGTTGGGCTCATTCGAAAGTTCATCCCTATGGTTGTTTGAGAATCTCCTATAGTTAGATACCTGAGTGTTACACAAATTCGCTCACTAGGCCCTATACATTCCCGAGTTATGCAAGACTTCTGTATCTCTGGAGCAATAATAGTCAAAAGTTCTTCATATTGAACAAGAGTCAAACGAAAATATTTGAAAAAAAGTCTTCAACAAATAAACGTACATCTTGGACTAATAAATAGAACTCTCCTTTAGTTTTGCGTTCTTTAAATATTTTTCGTACCCATACTGACTTTTTAATTTTATTTCATTTAGTTATCTTTCTTTCTAACAAGAAAAGAAGGAGTGTTTTTCACTGGCAACCGCCATGTTATGATTATAAATGATTATAATCAAAATTCGCGCCATGTTTCGTTGCTCTACGGTTCGTCAAAACGCCAAAGTGGAGAATGTGACAAGAATATGCATACGATACGCTACGTCAGGTATTGCTGCGTTACGCTACGATACGGTCGAAGTAGAGATCGGCCTTAACTGTAAGGTGTATAACATAACTAGACTAACTGTAAGGTGTATAACATGACTAGACTAACTGTAAGGCGTATAGCATGACTAGACTAACTGTAAGGCGTATAGCATGACTAGACTAACTGTAAGGCGTATAGCATGACTAGACTAACTGTAAGGCGTATAACATGACTAGACTAACTCTAAGGCGTATAGCATGACTAGACTAACTGTAAGGCGTATAACATGCTAGACTAACTCTAAGGCGTATAGCATGACTAGACTAACTGTGAGGCGTATAACATGACCAGACTAACTGTAAAGCGTATAGCATGACTAGACTAACTGTAAGGCGTATAACATGACTAGACTAACTATAAGGCGTATACGTACACAACTAGACTACATGATATCATTATAGACGTACATGATATCAGTACAACACAAAATAATTTACCTAGTGCCCAACTCGGCCAATAAATAAGCCAGCAAATGTTTCGGTTGTCTGTGCAAACTGTGAAAATATTACAAGCACAGGTCAATTAAAAACGATAATATGCATCTACTTTACTAGCTATATGCAAACTTTAAGATCGATAGCTTTTGTTGCAAATAATCTGATGACGCAAACTTTAAAAACGTGACTTCATAATGCATGTCATAAGATGCAAAAGACATTAACATACATTTTACAAATATCACCAAAGTTTGCAAAGGACGTTTTCTTAGTTCCAATTTTGAAAACTTGAGGCGGCCTCATAATGAATTTACGTTTTTCGCCAGCCACAGCGTCGGGATTCTTCGCCTTCATTGTATCAAAGACTCTCGTCAACAGCTGCAAAACAACACAGTTACGAATTCCTTCCGTCAAGTCAGTACACCCAATCGATATTAAAAAATACACAAATCAAACACAGCCCAAATCCAGGAAACACGCAAAGCTTTTAAAGGAAAACTACTATTTTGATGAAAAATTATATAAAGGGTATGGGCAATGAAAATAGTGATCTTCCAAAAATCATCATGATTGAAAAATTGTCATTTTAATGTCATTTCAATTTATGTCGACTATTCCGTGGTGACGTCTTTGCGGGATGCTCAAAAATTTTTACATGTTTTGGTTTGTCAAATTCCGACTTTACAGCTGTCACTTCACCTATTTTTTTGCGTGTTTTTTTCTCAATCCTCAATACCAAAAAAAACTACAATATTGAACTTATCAAAACACGTTTACCCGCAAGTGACGCCACTTCCTTTTGCGTTTTGCAAAAAAGATGGCGAATTTCACAGTCTACGAGATAGTTTAAATCCTCCTGGTAAATACTCCAAAACGCTCTCAATAATCAAAAAAAATTTTGTAATGCTTATGAAGTGACAATTTGTCAGTGAAAATGATTTTTGGAAGATCGCTATTTTCACTGCCCATACCCTCTTAAGTCAAAGCTTTCGATTTTGTATATCTAGTTCACTTTAGCCCTGTGCCCCTGGTCTGTGAACAGGCTAAAAACCCCTCTAGTGGGACTGGCACTAAGGCAAAACACGACCATAGATATAACATACCTCTTCATAAGTGTATTCTTTTTCTTCCTCAGCAGGTGCAGTATCTTCTTCATCATCTACTTTATCTAAAGCAATAAGAATCATCAAAACGTATGAACATTTACTAAATAATTTCAGAAGCGAAGCTAGCCCGCAAGTTTGAGTCCTGCTATGCAAATTTCAGACCATTATCACTATTCATTTCTTCAGAAAGATATTGCTTTTACCACGAGTGAACAAAAAAAAATTAACATAGCAGAACAAAACAAGCGCAGTGGCTACGTTACCGAATAGTTTCTGTGTTAAGATGGCCTGACGGCAAAGTATTTTTTATAAAATAACACAACGAAAGAGCTTGGTGCAAGGATTTGTGTAACAAAGTAAGTCTCGCGGTAATGCTTTACGCGCTAGTGATTACTTCTGGTATTGAACTTTTGATATATGGGCTAATAATAATAACATTATTTTATGAGGGCAACACAAAACAGTTAAGCACTAATAAACCAGGCCCCTCCTATAATCTAACTAGTTACACGGAAACTATTTTGTAAAAATTTCATGAGGTAAAAGATTTATAAGTTTAGGGATTGTTTTCTGACTAACAAAATGAGAAATACGTATAACTTTCTTGAACGCGACTCTCGTTATTCCTTCTTCATTTCTTGGCCCGACAAACTTTGACGATTCGATTACTTGGTAGTAGAAATGAACATATTGTTGTACTGACAGCCTACATAATACATACTATGTCGCCATTTTTTGGGTGCCCCGATAATAGCTATCTATCATTGACTAAGCTCGCAAAGCATTACCGTGAGACTCATTCTTTGAATAGGCGCTAGTACGAAAGCTGAATTCTCCTAAATTGCAAATCTAAATTCTCCCTAACGTACGAGGATGTAAATTTTAGTAAACGGTGAGGTCAATCAACTGTCAAACACCACGTGCATCGTAAAATTACAAATCGGTAAGTGACTTAAAAGTTAAACAAAATCACTAATGTATATAAACTTCACATTTACAACGAACGTGTTCTTTCTGACCGTTGACCCCAACGATGATCGTGTTCTGAGCCTGCACTAACATTTATATAAAATCATACCTGGTTTTATTTCACTATCTTGGACCTGACAAAACAAAAGAGCAAATTTAAAATTGCTAAATGATAAACTACAGTAAAACATTATTTATTAAACGTAAAAAGTAAACGTTATATATTCCAATCATCAGTAGAATATGTGAACTTTACAATCGTAAAACAAAAAATTTGCACTCGTCAACTTATAATTTTAATTACACGATCAAAAGAAAAATATAAATGAAGAAATAGCAGGCAGGTTGTTGACATCAAGCTATTGTTGTTCTGCAACGTTAACTATCATAATTGCGCCAAAGAAAGGGGTATTCTACCTTCTTCAGCAAAATATAATCGTTTTATTTCACGAATCTTTCTACTGTCAGTAAAAATGAAGTTTATGAAAAAGTTTTAGTTTTTGTTGGCAGTCCCTTGGATTTTTAACAGCTTTGTAACGAGGTTTTCAAGAGAACTCTAACTCAATAAAAACGACAAGTTTTTTTAATAAACATGTTTCAACATCTCATGATGCCATCTTCAGTATAATAGGGAGTATTGTGTATGTGATTAATGTATGTGAGTAATATAACTCAGTGATACAATGTACACAATTATGAGAAGATTATTATACATAAATATTACAATGAAATAGTGGTAAGAATTAATGATGAAAGTATTTACAGGCTGAATATAGTGTTAAAACGAAAAACTTGAACGTTGAGATTAGGGTTAGTTTTGTTAATGTGAAGTGCTTCTTTGATTTTGAGTGCGAATGTAGTATCTGCAGTGTCGATGATTTTAAAGCAAGAGGATGAATAGTTAGTTTTGCATAAAGGTGATTTTAAAAGGTCTCGATAGATATGTGAGTTTTTGTCTGTTGTGGTGTGTTCCCTGATTCTGGTGGATAAGTGACGGGAAGTTTCGCCAATGTATTGGGAATTACATCCCGCAAAATCGAATTGGTATACCATCGTAGATTGAATAGAATCAGGGATAGGATCTTTGAATGAAAAGTAGTTTTTGATTTTAAGGAAGTGAAAATTAGTCGGATGATAATGTCAGCGCAGAAGCGTTTGATGATGTTTTAAGTCTGCATTGTTTGTGTGGTGAATGATGTCCGATGTTGTTGGTCGTGGTTGTTATATCAGATGTTCTAGTGTTTGCTTTGCAGTTGGTATTTTGTCATGGAGATATCGTTTGGCAGTTTTATTGATGTAGTATAGTGGGAGAGAGTTGCGTAATAAATTAGGTAGCAGATACGTTGACGATATTTTTTGTGTTTTCACAAACGAGACTGAGGCTATGAACTTTTTAGTTACATCAACAAGCAACAAGCGAACATTAAATTTTCTTTCGAAACCAAAATACAAAACCAACTACCTTTTCTATAGACATTTTATTAACAAAATCACATGACACCTATACAATGTAGATGTATCATAAACCAACCTACACAGGACCACTGACGAACTACTTCAGTTTTACACCTCTTTCATACAAAGACTAGATTAATACGCACACTCATACACAGAGCATACAAAATTAACAACACTGTCAATGGCTTTCAACAAGACCTACAAAACATCACATCTACTTTTTTACGCAACTCTTTCCCACTATACTACATCAATAAAACTGCCAAACGATATCTCCATGACAAAATACCAACTGCAAAACAAACACTAGAACATCCGATATAACAACCACGACCAACAACAACGAGCAGTCCGGAAAGTCTCGTTAACTTCAAACTACCGTATATCGGACATCATTCACGACACACACAATGCAGACTTAAAAACATCATCAAACGCTTCTGCAATGATATTATCATCCGACTAATTTTCACTTCCTTAAAATCAAAAACTACTTTTCATTCAAAGATCCTATCCCTGATTCTATTAAATCTATGTATACCAATTCGATTGCGCGGGATGTAATTCCCAATACATTGACGAAACATCTCGTTACTTATCCACCAGAATCAGGGAACACACCACAACAGACAAAAACTCACATATCTATCGAGACCTTTTAAAATCACCTTTATGCAAAACTAACTATTCATCCTCTTGCTTTAAAATCATCGACACTGCAGATACTACATTCGCACTCAAAATCAAAGAAGCACTTCACATTAACAAAACTAACCCTAATCTCAACGTTCAAGTTTTTCGTTTAAACACTATATTCAGTCTGTAAATAATTTCATCATTAATTCTTACCACTATTTCATTGTAATATTTATGTATAATAATCTTCTCATAATTGTATAAATTGTATCACTGTATCATATTACTCTTATATATATTAATCACACACATAATATTCTTTATTATACTGAAGATGGCATCATGAGATGTTGAAACATGTTTATTTAAAAAAAACTTGTCGTTTTATTAAATGCGATTATCACTAGACCTTTTGCGATGTTACAGATCTCTAACTAACGCAAAGAGTGATTTATTTTTTATCTTAGCAATAAAATGTTTCGTATAAACTTTCGTTTCTAAAGATTATGCCCAAAATAAAATAAATCAATTATACGTGTAAATTTTATGGGGGCTAATTTTTCTGTCCACTAGTTGAAGATTTCTAAGAAATATCAAGTTATCGAATATCGTACTAATACGTTGGTTAATAAGTATTTTGAAATTTAAATGTAGTTTCCTAAACTGTAGTGGACTGAAAATGAACAAAACAAGCAAGCGACTCACTTTTTCTCTTCGTTTCTTTTTCTTTTTTGAATAAACTAGGTTGTTTTCATCGACTCCGTTATTTTCTACGACGTCGTCTTGATTCTAGTAAATAAACACAACACAATTAAAAGACATTTTGACAGCTATCGTGAACCATTAAACTGGCATATTTAACACCAGTATCACGCATGCGTGTTGTTCCTAAAATCGATAGCTACGTATTTCATGACTACAACTTTTCTTTTGCAATACTTTTACTATATATTTACATTCATGATGTTTAAAGCATTTCAACATCTATTTATGAACGTAAACTTGCTGGACTTTTGGCTGTTTGAAATCTTCAATGATAGTTTCCTCGTCAGTTCACCCGAAGGAAAATACCATTTTCAATACGTACATATAACAATACAAATGATTAGAAAATATTTCCGATGTTCAGAAGTCATCTCATAATTCACTAATAATTTTTCTTCAATCGAGAGCTTAATAAACCCTTTCTAAATATACAACGCACTTTACATTATTCCAATACTGGATTTACTCCCGCGCTATTCAAATTGTAAAGGATTGCCATCATTCATTTTTTTAAAAATCTATTGTTCTCACGGTCAGTGAACACAAAAATATTTAGATAGCGGGAGTGCATTGCACCTAATCATTTAAATTCTACAGTATCTTAGCATGAAAATATAACTACACCACTGATTACACAAATGCAAAATACACAGGTTAAACTCTCAAACCTTGAAAGATTCTGAGCGGTAACATCACAAATTAACGCATTTTAAAACTTATTGTTCGATTACTGACTCAACAATATTATTAGCTACTATTTCTGTCATTGTTAATTCCATTCACATGTAATAAAACTGCTTCAAAAGTCTGACTACCATTCGCAGTACTTTTACAAACAATAAAGTACTGCGCATAAGCTAAGTAAAATGTAATACCGTTATTTCTGTGTCCTCTTCAAAGCCTTTCTTTGGCTTTTTCTTCTTCTTCTTTTTCATTGATGAGAAGTCATCAAAGTTCATGTCGTCATCTACAAAATAAAATTACACGTTTTTCAAATTATCCACTAAAATTAGTTTGTTGTCACAAACTTGTAACATTGGCCCAGTAAACAGTGTCATGAAAACGAAAATTGGATTAGATTCCAGGCTTCCAGCATGAAACACTTACTTTAACTTTGACAAAACACGAGAGCTTTTGAAATGGTCATGTTAATAATCAATGACGGTACGTATATTGGGGAAAATGTTGATGCTAGTACACTTGATGCATTGTACGTTGCAAAGGTTTTAAGTCATAACTCATAGATCAGTGATATTATCATTCTCTCATCTTCTATGAGCTGAGCACAAACTATATTTGTGAGTAAAAACAGAATGTTTATAAGTGAAGACAGCTCAACGATATACTTAACGTGTGTAGCACAAGTAAAACATATAGTTTCGTTTCATACATAAGTCAAGATCATTTCAAAAATTGAACAAGTCTGAAGATAAGATGGCAGACACAAAGCTGTGGTGCAAAAAAAACGTCAGTTGTAGTTCAGAAAACGTAAAGATGCAACATGCTATTGCAAGGAAATGAAAGATAGGTTAGAAGATTTTCTAAAATGTTAAAAGAGCAGGAGAAGGACATCCTCGAGCCACAATAAAAAGAAAAGATTCACGTCCCTAAAATAAGAATTAGAAGATGCAATGAGAAAAGTAGTATCTTAATATACATAAGCAAACGATGTCTGATAAAAGACTGGAAAGTTTGCAATGTGTGTTAGGAATGAGGTGATTGGTCTGTGGAAGAATGGGGAAAAGTGCTGCTTTCACATGAATCTAATTTTCAAGCTCATTCATGGAAGAATAAATACCAGAGGAACTGTACCATTGAGAATGCCTTGTTTTCCATCGAATATCTTCAGAGAATATTAAAGAATACGTCAGAAAGTGAGCCATGCAAGAGCATGGAGGAACTTAAACTGCCATCTTTGAAAAATAATAATGCATAAACATACTTGAAATTAATTTCATGTTTGGGATTTGCAATGTGTATTTGCTGTAATTCATGTGCATTATTGTATTCAATTTGCCTTCATAACTTTCACAACAATCTGAGCTGTCCTTTAGCTCCATTGATGCAGCCTAGCATTAATGAAATGTACAATCATGGAATGCTTATTTCAAAAACCATAAAAAGATCACTTGACAATAATGTATATTTTGTCCCTGATGGATCCCTCCAGCCTTGTTTACACTACCAGCTCCAAAATGGTGTTTTGCAATAACTCATATCATTTTAATCAATAATTTTAATATGACATTTAAGAAATATGTTTATGATTCAAAACACCTGAACAGTATCGAGATAATTAACTTTGTAGATATTACACTGTTTATGGTCATTAAATTGCTGGTGTCTCAAATTCAAAAATATCAATTTTCAATTATTTTTGTAAACCAATGTTGAAGATATCCAAAAATATTATATCGTTCCTTGCAGAAAAGTTGTAAACTAAACAAACAGATAACTTGAACAATGGCAACTTTGTTAAGTAAGTCTTTGCTGACATTAATTATGGTTAATCTTTAGGTTTTGAGACTTTACTCGATTTGCATTGAGAACCTTTTAAATTCCTTTCCAAGTCAAAATGGTTTAAAAACATAGCCTCCATAAATTCTAATTATACTGGTTGTATCTTTTAACCTTTCATCTTGAGAAGTTGATAGAACGTTATATAAAGTTGGAAACTTGGAAAGAACATTAATTTTGAACTTTTGAACTAACTTCGTAGGTAGGAACATTAGGTATGTGACAAGGCATGAAATGGGGATAAATCTGTTATAAACTTCGTGCTTCTGTTTCGAAATGTGTACTGAAATACTCACCGATTTGTTTATCATTCGCCTCCTCGATTATTTCGTTTTCTTTGTTCGTGTCTTGATTGTTGGAAAGATCCACATTTTTGATCTTTTCTTCCACCTCGTCCGTTGGGTCGAAATCGACGATCTTCTTCGTCTTTTTTTTCTTTTTCTTCATGCTCGGGTTGAAACCCTGAAAATGAAAGAACTGAGATTCAGTCAACGTTGTCAGGAGTTGACAATATTGAGGCAACTCCATTTATTAATTTAATAATGTGCATATACTGAGTAAACCGTGAAAGAGACATTTGAATGTTAAACACGTACACTATCTAGATCATCAGCCATTGCTGTCTCCAAGTCCGAGTGAATTCCAAAAAAAATCCAACGAAATAATCACAATCCTTTAGCTTTGCCAGAAATCAATTTCTACAAAGCACTACAATTCATTGTCCAGAAATTTATAGTGTGTAACTGTGTGTATTGCATGCGATTGCATCAGCCGCTTCGTGTGGGTACTAATCTCCCCTCGGAGATCTAATACTAGTGTTACGTCACAAACGCAATTAATTCGCGTGCGCGTCTTCGAAAAAGCGGGACGCGTGATCCGAGAGCCTGCAAAAAAAATAACGGTATTTTCGATTTGGATCAAATGAGATTTTTTGACTTTGTTGGAATTGCTATATAAATTATCAATCCTGTTTACGCTACTGTCGTTTGCTTGGCTTGCAATGTCTGCAAGTTCGCCGTCTCCCATGCCTCAGGCGGAGGAGTATAAATTTTGCGACGAACGTTATTCCAAGGAAATTTTAAAAAGACTCAACAAACTTCGAGAGAATCAAGTCATGTGTGATGTAGTGATTAGGATCGACAATCAGGAATTTCCAGCGCATCGAAACATTCTCTCGGCAAGCTCAGATTATTTTTTGGCTATGTTCAATGGAAACATGAAAGAAAGCGTGGAGCAGTCGATATATTTGAACGGAGTTGGCGCGGATACAATGAGGGCCATATTACATTTTATTTACACTGGGGAAATTTTTCTAAACAAGCACAACGTTGAGAACATCTTACAAGCTGCAAATCTGCTGTTAGTACAAACTGTAAAAGACGCTTGTTGTCGATTCTTGGAAAGTCGTCTGACAATATCCAATGCCCTAGCCATTCAGGTTTTCGCAGAGATCTACGCCTGCGAAGATCTTTATAGGACTGCTTGCGAGTTCATAAATCAAAATTTCACTTACGTATCTCAGACCGAAGATTTTCTCGGTCTTTCTCCTCGCCAGTTGGCCGTATTACTCCAAAGCGATGAGATCAACGCCGAGTCTGAAGAGAAAATCTACGAGGCGCTGATGCGATGGATTAAGAACGATATTCGAGCGCGTCGGCAACATTTTCCCGAGTTGATCAAATTCATTCGTTTGCCATTGATTTCTCCTTATTATCTGGTAGATTTTGTCGAAAAAGAATCTTTGTTTCAATTGACCCCATCTTGTATGACTCTTCTGCTTGAAGCTCAGCATTATCACATGTTGCCTGAAAGGAGGGTAGAAGTCGATGCAAATAAGACTCGACCGCGACAATACGAGAAGTTACACGAATCATTGATGGTCATTGGGGGAAACGGGGACATCACACCCCTTACAACAGGTACATAGTATGAAATTATTTTCAAATGGATAAAACATGTTTTGGGCTCCAAAAGATACGTAGGAATTAAATACATCCTCAAGTAAAAGATGAAAAGTACGAATAATTGATCCAAGAACATGCAGAAGTATCGCATTTTAAAATCATGCCATTCTTTCTTCATTTTTTTAGCATCTGATTCTAAAGCTGGGAGTATACTCATATAATTCTACTGATAAGATAAAATTTAACGTAAATCCTGACTTTCAAACAATGCTCCTATATAACCAATAGCTATATACTTACTATAGTTCTTCTCACTAATTTATCATTACTTTAGTAAATTTTACCAATCGTTCTTTGTACTTCTCTTGTTTTACTAAACATAATTTATATCATCACAGTTTTTTCTTACAACACAATGAAAGATCAATGGACGGATTTGCCTAAACTTTCAAAAGAACGAGGTTATCATGGAATTTGTGGTATGGGCAGCCATGTTTATATTGCTGGAGGCTACTCATGTGTAAATTCGGAGACTTTAAATTCAGGTAATCTCAAAGATTTATCGCTTATCTTGACTTATTAAAATCTTCAAACACACTGAAAACATAAGGTTAAACAAATACGTCGCTAGCTTAGATAGACACAATATTCCAATTCTAGCGCAATTGGCTAGAAACCTATCTTATTGCCAATAAACGACGCATTGTTGCTAGACTTGGGATATATCCAAAAGTCTTGGAAGTTTTAAAGTCAAACTTGAGATTTTTGGAGATTTCTGCAAAATTTCATGGCATCTTGGGATACATTTTTGAGCTATTTTAGAGATTTTCTCTATTTATATTTCGGAATTCAAATTCATGATTGAGAAGCCGGTCTATAAAATGAATTATAAACTGTAAGGCAAGGGCAAAATTTGTACTGTGAAATGCGCATGCGTTAATGTAAAAATAGATTGCAATGTAGATTGCGGGAACGGGTTTGAGACTCATTGAAATAATGGATAGGTGAAGCAATAGTAAATGGCGTTTATTTAAACTTGGTCATGTTTAAATGAGTTATTTTTCTGTACAGATCGCACTTAAAAAGTCATAGGACAAGCTTCTATTGTTCAGTTCATGAAAACTTTACTTCTTCGAGTTACACGATCAATGAAATGTGAAAGTTAGTTCTACTCATCATGCTTTGTTAGCTTGTATGGCTCAGCAAACCAGTTGAATTGGCAGAGGTGTGGGCACGAGAGGATCAAGTGGGAGTGAAGAGAGGCAGTAAAATCTTAGCAGCGCGACTAACAGCAGTCAGCTTTTTGAGACCACTTAAAGTCTTAAGCATAAAAAGAACGTCCTTGTTTAATTTTTGTACAACAATTTTATCTTTAGTCAAATGCTACGACGCTCGTGACAAGACGTGGCATTACGTTGCTTCAATGAACGCATCAAGAAGTAAACTAAGTATGGCTGAAGTTGGTGGAGTCATTTATGCCATGGGAGGTTTTGACGGCAGTACAACTCTAAATACAGTTGAAAGCTATACCATCAGTACCAACAAGTAGGTAGCTCATAAGCAGCAAAACCACGTGTTATATATTTATGGTGTGTATTGCAAATTAACTTTTTTTAAATTCGATTCACTAATTAACACATACGATAGTGTCAAATCAAGGGCGGCAATTTTAACACTGGTTAATCGGTTGTTTCTACTGTCAGTGAATATTTGAGAAGCTCTATTAGATACCATCAACTTGAATTTCTGACTAAAGATTCTGACAATTCTTTCATGAAGGCCATAATTTTGTATACTCTAATTGTAAAGATGAAGAACATCTACATATAAAATTGAAACACTTTAGCGCATGTTCCGACTGTGCAAGTACTATCCATTTAGTAAATTTAAGTTTTTCAATAAGTACATTTGAAATCTCTCGTAACTGATTATTTTCAAGCTTTGCTTTTAAATAAGATTTCTTTTTAAGCCAGAATAGTACTAATGGGGTTGTTGGATGAATTTTAGATGGAAAACCATTTCGCCAATGCCCAGCAGAAGGCGTTGCACATGTGCAGTGTCACATGGTCAATACGTTTATGTGTTGGGCGGCCATGATGGATCAAATATTTTAAATACAGTGGAACGATACGACACAACAAAGTAAGTTTAAATTATATGACTTTTTTGGAACATAGTATCTTATAATGGCCGTGAGAATAGATGGGAGAATGGATATGAAGCTGATATCAGAATCACTGACCAAGCCAACTAACTGAGTCAACGTATAGTTGTCATTCTTATTTTATCATTAAAAACTTCATTGTGTGCTTTGAGGAAGAAAACAACACGAGCATCCGAAACAGGCTAAACTTAGAAAATTGATTTTCACAAATTTGTTGCAAAATTTATTTTTAAAATTTTAAAATTTTTGGGAATAAAGCGTCATGTCCTTAATAAAACAGCCTCTAATTTTGAGAGAAATTTGGAATGGTGTGTTTGCGCTGCTGAATTGTTACATGGAATATATATTGTCGGATAAATAATGTAATAAAAGCTTTAGATAAACATTCCAACTTCTGCACGAAAACTAAATAGAGCTTATTATTTTTTTATCAAGTAAAACATTGTCTAAAAGTAATTTTAACGACCTTACCTTTAAGTAATTACAAAAAAATAAAACATCTAACACTCGTTTAACATTATATTTACTCGATCATAGAGACGAATGGAGCCCAACTGCGATCCCCCAAATGCACGACAGGAGGTCGTTTCCGTGCGCTGTGGTCGTAGACGATCGCATGTTTTGCATAGGAGGCTACGATGGCAACGATACACTACGAACTGGCGAAGTATACGATTTCGAAAGCAATCAATGGACACCCATTCCACCGATGTTTATTGCCAGGTCCAATGCAGGCGCAGCTGTGCACAACAAAAAGATCTACATTGTAGGAGGCTGGGACGGAGTTAGTCTCGCATCAGCTGAAGTCTATGATGTCGTCATAGGAGAATGGAAACGAATTACGAGCCTACCGCGACCCACGACAGGGGTGCGATGCTGCTTCATTAGTCTTCAAAATCAGAACAACGATCTGAAGCCACTTCGACAAAAAAACTCTAAAGGCCATTTATGCAGTATTATGTAATGGATGATAGGAATTGTAGAGAAAATGTACTGTATCAACATTGTGGTTGAATCATTTAAGACTTCTGTAAAAGAGATCTGCTTTTTTGATTGTAACCACTCACAATATGAAAGAAATGTAAGCTAAACGATGATAAAAATAATTGCAACAATAAACATGAACTCAGAGGATTTCGCTCGCGCTAAATCACTTATTTACGATTTGACTTTAAAGATTTTGATTGCACAATCTACTTTTGTTTTTTGTAGCTACAAAATTTCATGCTTTGTGTTTTGTTTTTTGCGAGACGCCTAGCAAAAAAGAAAAGTTTCTCCTTAAGCATAAGAGAAACCAACTTTCAACCTAATTTTAGCATCAACATAAGAAATTAGAAAGATGTCATGATGTGGTCAAACTATCACACCAACTTTGAGAATGAACAGAACTCAACGACAACTTCTTGGCCTTTTTCATAATTCCTCCCTCTTCGAAGTCATTCTTCCTTTTTAAGTTTGTTCGTAAAGTTTATACCACACTTGAAAAAAGTTAAACCTCACATTCTGGCATGTCAGCTGCATTAACCTTACCCAAAAAATGTCTAAGAGTGACTCAACGAGTCTTTACTGTTCATACATTTAACGACAGAGTATCATGTGTGAGCGCCAGAATTTCAATAAAAAAGGACAATGGATTATCTTTGTGAATTGTGAAATATCTTTTTTAGAATAATATGTTTTTTATTTTTGTTTGTATTAGCGTGAAAAATCTTTGATACTTCCTTTGGCTGGAAATCACATGAGACATGTCAATTCTTTAAGAAATTCTAATTTATCGACTTCGGAACACATGCAGACTTGATATGGAAAAAAATTTCAGAAATTTTTAAGATTTAATTTTTAAGATCTGTTCGTGAAAATCTATGCCACTATAAAGAGACGAACCATTACTGACATTATGACATTTTATATGTATATATGACATTTTATTTGGTTACAGAGTGTGCCTTTTGCCGTTTAAAAGCTCGTTTTGAAATTTTAAGGAAGCAACTGATTTAAATATGGAAAAAATTCTATCTGTCATCCTAATATGCTTTATTCTGCACATCTCTCACATCTTTGTTGACTGTATAATGAGCACGTCAGAAATGTCAAAATAGCTGCAGTTCATAACTACAGCAAAGAGTTTGGGCAAATTCAATATCTTTATGCACCTGAAATAATTAGGAAACAAACAATGGAAACAGTGTAATGAAAGCACGCCAAACATTTATGAAATTTTTTGAATAAAGCTGCTTTATATTAACTGAAATTTTTACTACAATGAGTTAGGAAGAAGACAGCGTAAAAAAGGAAACTTAGAAATATATAGTTTATTGCATGAAGTTAATAGATTTTAAGGCAAATATCTCTTGCAAACTTCCAGTATGGTAATAAAAAATGGTTTGAAACTACCTTAAAATTAGTTTGAATATGAATTAAAACTAATTGTCATGCTCAGCCTCATCACGTTCAGTAACATCAGTAGGCATGTTAAGGTTGAGTTTTCTATTTCTTTAATTTTCATGGACATAAAAATTTGGTAATACATCTTGTGTGCTCATTTGTGGAAAACCATTGCCACAAATGAAGGTTGAGGTTGCTGTTTTTGTTGATGCTGTGTATAGAGAATGTTTCCATCACTTGAAAGCAACTTGTCATTGCAGTTGTTTTTTATCCATATTTGTTGTCATCTTTTTTGCTTCACTTATAAAATCGCTGTGAAGGGTCTCACCTTGCTCAAACAGTTTTCTCTTTAGTTGCAAGTCTTCTTTTAAGAAATGCAGCTGCTGTGATTACAAAGATTTTTACTCCCCATTTATCCCACATGCTGTTAATTAAGAAATGTGGATATCTTTTCACGCCAATCATTTCTCCCCAAGTTTGCAGAGGCTTCGGATGTGATTGGGTAGTCAGTAGATGCCAAAGGCTCATCATCATTGTCATCTGTGAGTTCATTCATACTCCCATCAGTTGAAATATCAGTAAAGGAAGCTGAGGAATGAATATCCACAGACAAACTTGATTCAATACCTCCTTGAGTACCATTTAATAAAAAATTATGAAGAAATAAGGGTTGATATTAAATGTTTTTTAAATCATAATACATTTAGTTGAATTGAACAAGAAAAATAACGATGTTAAGCGCATGATATGTCTCTAAAACATAAATCCAATAAAATTTTCCTTTTCAAATTAAAAAAAAAACACATTTATCTGTTCTTTATTTGTTGAAGCTATGTATTAAAGTATAATGTAATAATAATTTCTGAGTAGCAACAAATTTATAAAACATCTAATAAAAACGACATTTTCTTAATAGCAAACATGTTTCGGCATTAACAACGATAA